ACCTACTCAACAACACTTAAACAACAACAACAACGAGTTGGAACTGACTCAATGACACTTAACCCACATTAACAAAGTAGTGTAATGATGTTGGTAGAAGTGAGCAACATCAAATTCGGGAGCATTCTAGAGGGGAATGGAAAGTTCTAGAGGGGAACGGGGTCAGCGCGTGATGCTTCAACAATGCTGGTAATGGTTGATTTCTTTGGAAAACAGCTTGAGAAATGTGGCAAGACATCACGATGTATCAGAGCTGCGCAGTGGACACCTTTGCCTGTGCTTTTCTATGTTTGGAAGGTACTTCGTTGTTTATTTAGGGAAAGACTTTGAATGTTAGAGCGGGCTATATCGTATTTCTCAGTAGACATTCAGTTCCATAAGAATGGAGCATGTTTTAGGGAACAATGAAGATTTTAATTACCTCCAGAAACCCACGTGTACTACTTTTTAATACGTTTTATGTTTTGGTGACCTTGGAAGATCTCCTTGGGAAGAACGTGTTCTGCTTTTAAAAGAGAAGAAACCAGTTCTGCAATGCTGTCCCTCTGGAAGCTTGCGGTCCAGGGCTAGAGGGGCAGACTCGCTGACCTGTCTCAGGTATTATTAGTGAGGGCCGACCCAGCCTCTAGAGGGAGTTGTCACCGCCCCAGGTTCCGGTCGTCTGGTCTGCAGAGATCTGATAATTTAGAGTCCACACTGAGTCAGGCAGGGGATTCTGGGCTGTAGAGCTGGGAGGCTAATTGAGTATTTCTTGGTTCAAGCCTGTCGTTCGAGAAGAAATTGAAACCAGAGAGTGAATGACCCACCAGAGGTCTCAGATCCCCTTGGGGTGCTCAGCAGAAGACCACAGGCCTCACAGCATCATCTTAACTCATCTTCCTGGTTTGTTTTTTTCCTTGTTCTAAACAGCATCCAAGTGAGCTTTCAAATCCAGATCCACCATCAGGTCAAGTCCAACCCTTGCGATTCTGTGTTAGAGCAGCTGAGTCGAATCCAGCTTATAGCTCTCCTACATAGGGTTTCCAACGAACATCTGGTGGGTTTGAGCTGCCAACTTGTGGTTCAAATCAGTCATGCAGTCCAGTGCTTATCCTACAGCACCACACCAAGACTCCTGAAGATTCCATTTTGTTAGTACTGCTGAGTTGGTTCCTACAGATAGTGATCCTAATACACAGTTTCGAAGGAGTTAGCTGGGGTGTTTGAACCTCCAACCTTGTGGTAAGCAGTCCAGTTCTTATCCTGCACTGCCACACCTGGACTCTGTGTTGTTGTTGTTGGTAAGTGCCATTGAATCAATTCCGACCCATAGCGACCTTGTATAGGTTTTCCAACAAGTGGCCGGGGAGCTTGAACCACCGACCTTGAAGTTCACACTAACTTTGTAGTCCAATGCATTAACCCACAGCGCCACACCAGAACTCCAGAGGGTTTCCAAGGAAGAAACAGAAGCAGACTGCCCTGTCTTTCTCCTGTGGAGTGGCAAGTGGGTTCAAACCACCAAGCTTTCAGTTAGCATTCTAGTGTTTTTGCTCTGTGAGCCTTGCAACTTGTAAGTCCCGTCGTAGTGCTCTCTTGCCAGACTTCCTACCGTTTCTGCCTCAGGGTGGGCCTTGAAGCCCTTGTGTGACCACTCTTCTTTCCTCTTTCTGTGCTCCTCTCCTGCATTCAATGAGCTCGTCATTGCCCTAGAAAACATCAGGTGGTTCCTGCCTCAGGACCTTTGCACTTGCTCTCCTCACCACCTGGTGTGCTGTTGGCCTCTGCTCCTTGCATGTGCATTTAAGCTCAGCAGTCAGCTTCTTAGAGAGGCCTTCTCTTTTCTCACAACACTTTTACTCAAAAACCTCTCTCTAACCCATTCTCCTGGTCTGGATGACCCTTCCCATGCTCTGAGATGATTGTATATGTTTGGTGAGTCTGTCTACCTCCCTCCTCCCATTAGGATATGAGGCCCATAGTCTTAATCGGTTCTGTTCCCATCAGCAGCATCTGCAGCAATGCTGGAACATGTTCGGTGTTTGTGCTGGGATTCCCAACACCATCCCTCTGAGTGTGAGGGGATTCACAGCACTTGGCATATACTTGTAGTCATGCTCAGTTTAGTATAATGACAGGACAGAGCACGAGCAGCTGAGGAAACCCAGGACGAGTCTCCCAAGAGTCTTCTCCTTGTAGGCTGACACAGTACACTCCTCAAAACTGCAGCATTCTATCGTGACAACATGTGTGAGATGGAAACCCATTAGATGCCCGGTGCCCAAGGTTGTTACTGAGGATGGTCATGGACAAACATTCAAGGACCCCAGAAGGAAAGCAGGTGCTGAGCATGAGCCACATTGTATAGTCTAGGCGCTGTGAGCCACTCTTGTTAAGTGTCCTGGAGTCATTTCAGACGCATAGTGACCCTGTGTATCGGGTTGAGTCGGTACTGACTAATGGTGGCGACCTTATGCACAGCAGAACAAAACACTGCCCGATCCTGGGCCAACCTCACTACTGTTGCCACGCTTGAGTTCTTCTAAGCTGCCACTTGGCCAGTCTGTCTCATTGGGGGTCTTCCTCTTAGTCTCTGACCCTCCACTTTACCAAGCATGATATCCTTCACCAGAGACTGGTATCTCCTGACAATATGTCCGAAGTATGAGAGACGAAATTTGGCCATCTTGGCCTCCAAGAACACTCTGGCTGCACTTCTTCCAAAACAGATCTCTTGGTTCTTTTGGCAGCCAATGGTACTTTCAATATTTTCCTCCAACATCATAACTCAAAAGCATCAATTCTTCTACGGTCTTCCTTATTCACTGTCCAGCTTTCACATGCATATGAGGTTATTGAAAATACCGTGGCTTGGGTCAGG